TTTTGGGAACAAAAGAACAGAATCAAACACTATTTGGCAAGTTGCCATCTCAGCCTAACCCTTCCCCCTCTTACTAAGACTACAGAATGTTCTGAATACCTTTACACTTGGCAGAAATATAAGTTGCCATCCTAAGATTACATTTTCTAGTATCATGACCAATATGAACTTCCAATGTAGGGTGCCTATCCAGAAGTTTTCGCAACTCCAGTACCCATAAGTGCTACATTAGATTTGAATCAGATTTGAGGTTCTCTATGAAATGAGGCATGGAACAAAGCCACTACAAAGAAGTTCTGGGAGTTACGAAGGAATCTTCAAGCTTCGAATTGATTCACAACGATTCTTTCCTTTTTCATATAAGAAATTCATGTTGTCATTAACCATTTAAGATAGTATTTAGTATGTATACGTATGTACATAGGTTTATCCTTTCTACAAATGGTCAAATGGGAGCAAAAATTTCCAGGAACATTTGGAGCATTTCGTTTCGCTTCTGAATCCCAAACAATCCATTTACGAGTTAAAGTCAATGTGTGGGTGTGTGTGTGTGTATATATATATATATATATATGTGTGTGTGTGTGTGTGCGCGCGCGCGCGCGCGTGTGTGTGTGAATATCTATAGGAGATCATATAAAAGGGATACACAAGAACGAACGGGTTACCTACTCTTAATGGTCAAAGCGAACCCTTTTAAAAATCGCGAGGGTTCAAGTCCCTCTATCCTCAAAAAAGGACTGCGAAAGCAAAAGCCTATGAGGTCGCTTCTATAACTAGATAACCAGCACCGAAAATCATCTTTACATTGGATCGTTGGACGAAACGGAAGATATTACCAATACATAGAAGTACATTTCTCCCTCGTGTTCAGCTATAGTAGTAACCCCTGAATCTAGGGAAGGCTATTGGATCAAATGACAAAGACATTGTTGAGAAAAGAACACTCATCCATAAATCGGTTACCGGTACCAATAAGATAAAGAAATGTAACCAATATTTATTGGAAAAAGCAACCCCAAAGATTTTGGACCAAATGAAGTAGAAGAACCCAGATTTCAACTGAACAAATTTGACACATGAAAAAACCAAAAGCTTTGCCCTACTTCTCTATCTATCCAAGGGATGGAAGGAAAAAGCTTTTGATGTCGCTCGCCTCTACTATGGGAATTGCTTTTGCTTTCTTTTCCTTTGGCTACTAAGATGAAGAAAATATAATAAAAAAGACAATAAAAGAAAATGAAATAATAAAAAAGAATAAAGTAATAAAATATGAAATATAGAATTTATTCTTACTTTATTTGAAGATGAAGCCGTGGGTCATTTTTGTACTTCACTGATCCAATTTGAGTACCTCTATAGGACAGACTTCAACAGAAAACCGAAGAGTAACGGTAGCAAGTGGATCACATCTAGACAAATAGAAGTAGGGCGACGAACAATTTATGGTTTCCGATAAGAAAAATTTCCTCATTTGTAACAAATAGTTATCTTGCAACGAAATGACCTGGCCCAATAGAGAAATCCCAATGACTTGGGTCTATCCAGTCTAATTCAGGACCAGTAATTAAACGCTACATTAATAGTGGAGAGGAATCAATAAATCTTTATATGAGAGACCTTCCATCACTAGAATTTGTCCTTTAATCCTAGAGGCAAGGACTTCAGTCGCCTCATCTATCCTCCTGAGGAGAGGTTTGGTGAATTGGGTAGTTTCAATCAATCACAACACGAGCTCGCTCACTCAATTTGAACACCTTTCCCGCACAAGTCTTTCCATGCTCTGGACCCCACACAATTGGATTATCAATCACTTTGTTAGATTTTATTCACATGTATTTTATGATGTAGGATGACATTAAATAAAGTTAAGTCATCTTCATATGGATTTGAGTAATTCTTGTCGGATTGGATTACCCAAGCACAAAAAACCACGAATTGATGAGAAACAGTAGCTTTTGCTCCGATATCGGTTATTGCGCAACATAATAGCGCGTGATCCACCACAATTGCGACATGAATAGAGAAATAAATAAGACATGAAGAAGACAACATATAGGGATTTATATGATTTGGTCCAAAATTGAAATCCACATTCATGGGGAGAATGGTAGTGACAAATCCACAATGAACAACATAGATCACAAGCTTAGGGCTATGGCTTTCTCAATTCCAGGCCTTAATTACATCCTATCAATGTTTTCCTCTCAAGACTCTCAAAGAAACCCTAAAAACACCCTCAAGAGACAAATGTGAGTCTTCCTCTCAAATGAGTTAATCAAATGACTAATGTCTAAACGAGGTCTATCCAGAATTACACCAGTGGGGGCCGAAATTGGGTTTTTTAATCAATGACAATCCAAGCCCGCCCATCAATTTTGAACGCCTTTCCCACTTCAAGTTTCTCCATGATTGTTGGGCCCTACATGACTGGAATATCAATAACCTTTATTAGATTTTGTCACCGTTGATACGCACTTCTTACAATTAGGGCTGTCAAAATGGATAGAAAATCAATATCTCAAACCACATTGAGTCAAATGGGTCACGATGGATAAGCTAAAACGAAAATGGGTGTTAGTAGGTCTGCTAGAAACCCACTCTCAGCCCAAGGTCTCCTTCACTCGTCTCTTCGCTCTGTCTCTCCTTCGTTACCAACTATTCCCGATTCTTGTATCGGTGAGCTCTCTTGCTCCATTCCTATCAGCATCGCCGCCGCACCTATTTCCAGCGTTGCCGTCACCCACCTCCGGTCATCTACCTCCATATCAAAGTTTTGCCTATGGATTTTCACAGGGTCTCTGTTTTTCAACGATGGGTAATTTCGATGATCGTCTCTTCTCAAATTCCCAAATTCAAATGGAGTTCACAACAAACAGTAGTAGAAAAATACCCAAAGTTCAAATCAAAGCAAAATCAACAACGAACCCAATGAACCAAGCAAAAGGCAATGCTCACTAGAATGAAACTGTGAGTCGAGACCGGCGTCGACAGGATTTCGTCACCGCGGCGACCAAGAGGACGTCGGCAAACCCAGGGCCAAGGCAGCGACCACTGAGATGGTCGTGATCTCTCCACCAAAACCTCAAGGAGGAGTTAGTGGCCTCCAAGTCCTCGATCTCTCTTTCGCGACCTTGCTGAAATTCTCATATCACTCCTTGCAAAAACAGGCGTGGCACGTGATATGCTCCACATTGCAGGACCTACACCACACGAACTCGCACAATGACTTGGTTTCATTCCATAAGAAGCGCGCTCACTCGTGGCATTTTGTCGAGTGAGCTAGTGTCGATAACGAGTCTGTTGGGATTGCAAAATTAATTATCTAAACCTAAACCCAAATTATCCAAAACTCGAACAGACCAATAATCGAGCATCAGCAATACCAAATCCAATCCATAGCTAAACGGAGCGATATTGAAAATGACGCCAAGCTCAAATCATCCAAATCGAACCTGCTCAAAACTGTGAAAATAAAATTCAAAATAATTTTAGTTCGATACCCTCAAAATTCAAATCATTATTGCCATCCCCGCCCATTCGCCATTAGAGATGTTAGCTCTCTCTCTCTCTCTCTCTAATCTCTTCTTTGCACTACTTCTTAGCAGCGATCCCATGATCAAAACCATTCATTAAAGCCCCCTTAAGCTCTTTTGACGTTATAATTTGCGACATCAACTTGACCTTTCATGGGTGACAAAATGCAACCGAATCATGCATATCTGGTTACAATAACGCGACATTAGCACTAAGCCTTAGAAATTTTTGGGTGCAATTTGGGTCCAAACCTTGGAAAACGAAGAACATTTGGTCTCGACCGAAAAAGAAAAAGAAAAGGAAAAGGAACCTTCGGATTGGAACAAGTTGATGAGCAACCTGTAGAAACTTAGGAATGGAATTTTTTTGTACAAGTTGATTGAACATTTGGTCTCAACCGAAAGAAGAAAAGTCCACCCCGCGACCACGAGCATATAAAAGAGGGCCCCACTTCTGGCTGGCTTGAAGGGTTTTTTCTAGAAGCCCATAAACGAAAGTACCCGATCCTTTTCCAAATATATTACGGCTTTTCTAGGAAGACGAAAATCATTTTTCCAGGCCATAAATAAAGAGATCCGGTAATTGGAAAACCCATTAAATAACCCATAAATTTCATCGACCAATTAAATCGAAATCTCTTAAAATTTCAAAAATGAGTGGTTCATAATCCGAAAACTCATTAAATAGCCTATATATCTCATGAACCGATTAAAGCGAGACACAAAAACAGTAAGATCCTTACCGGTGGCTCACCAATTCTATGCACCGTCATCGCCTCCCCCTGGTCCCCTCACTCTCTCTACATTGTCAGGTTTACTTTAAATTTCAAATTCTTTTTGCAATTTCTTTTACCTTATAACGGAATTTGCCCTTGCTGATCAAGAAATGCCCACACGTCATGCGCGTGCACTGCGGCCACGCCGGATCTTTCACCAGCATTTAGCTTCCGGGCCTAATAAAACCCATTTATCAAGTATAATTGATCTTCTAAGATAAATTCAAGTAAGGGGGCTATTTTGAGAAAATGCACTCACTTGAGGGGGTTAATTGAAAATTTTAAAATTGAATACACTTTCTTTTAAAAATTGAATAATTGAATACATAAACAATATTGACTATTATCTAGAAACTCATTGCCACTTTTTCTTTTCAGGGATTCGCTCCACACATGCACGGGGCGTGAAATTACATTTCAGTCCGTCCGCCAGTTTTGAATTCTTGCGCACACCAGGAAGGTATAAGAAAAAAAAAAAGGGAAAAATATCTGGAGCCGCAGTAAAAATGAAATGCGAGTCTCGCGGGGCCAACGGTGAAAAGACGCTGTCCAATAGGAAAGCAGGCAAGTCAACAAAAAGTCAAACGTGAAGGGACACGTGTCGCGAATCGCACCGTCCAAGTCACTTTCGATCTCTCTTTTTACTGGCCTGTGCCTGTATATAACGTAGAATCAGAGCCCCTCGAAATGGACGGGAGATCATCAGCAAAGAGACGAGAGGTCGGGGAAGAAGAAGGCCGAGAAGCGTCCGCCGGAGCGCTCGCCGGAAGATCGTCCGCGCTCCGATCTCCGGCGGCGGGCGGCGAGCTCGGGACCGGGAGGCAAATGAGCGGGAGCGACCGCCGGCATCACCAGCAGCAGCAGCAGCCGGCGCACCGCCGTCGCCGGAGCGGGGGCGGGATGGAAACCGAGCGGCTCAAGGCGGGGGAGAAGGAGGGCGCGGCGGCGGAGAGGAGGGAGAAGAGGTTCGAGAGGAGGCTCGTGAAGTTCGATGAGCTGCCGGATTACATGAAGGACAACGAGTACATACTGGACCACTACCGGTGCGAGTGGCCGCTGAAGGACGCGATCCTGAGCGCCTTCGCCTGGCACAACGAGACGCTCAACGTGTGGACGTGCGTACGCAAACCTCGAGCGGGAGCCTTCCGATTCCGCGGATCGATGTTTCCTTTTTTCTTTTTTTTCAAGTGCTGGTGGTGATTCGATCGATCGATCGATTGATCGCGTTCTTTGTTCGCGATTGCGTGTGACAGGCATTTAGGGGGATTCATCATCTTCGTGACGCTGACGGTGATGAGCTTGATAGAGAAGACGGGGACGCGAGGCTTGCTCGGCGATTTCTCCAGGTGCGTTCGTCGACTGATCGATCGATTGATCGCCGATGGAATTCCTTCTCCGGTCTTCGTTTTCCGTCGTTTCTTCTCTCGGTTCGCGTGCTCTTCTCCATTTTTTTGAGTTTCTCCATGCATGTTCGTTCAGCGATGCTTCTGGCAGGAGATTCGGTTCTGTCAAAGATGAACTATTTACGGTTTCTGCCACGGCCTGAATTATCGATAAACTTAGATACTGCCTAAGAGCCAGAGGCACTAGCCAACAAAGATCCCATTCACAATCAGCTCGCGACATTCGCGGCTCCGCACCGAGCGTTCCGACATGAGTAATCGAAATTCGAATGACCCTTTCGTTGTTTTTTGAGCGATTTTTCGATAATCCAAGGGGCACGAACTCAGCAGCGGCCGGCTCGCTTCCTGTTCTTGCAATTTTGTAGCTCACTCCCTGAATAGAGAGAGCTGGAGAGAAGTTGACTAAGCCCTCTTCCATCACATACAGTGAAAGTGAGATAGACGTTGATGGATGAAAACCAGTGCCGGAACTTTGCTAGAACCAGATTACCTTAGTCGTATTGCTATCTTGGACTCACCCCACCCTTCACCTTTGTCGGTCATCAGATGATGTAGTAGCAAAAGAAGCTTCCTGTGAAAGGAATTTCTGTTGAACGATAATGTACGCGTGTGCAGTTGTCATTCAGATTGAACTGGAGATATTCTTTGTTTATTCCATTGAATCTATTGCTTTTCTGGGTGGGATCAGGGCCACCGTCCCAGCGGATTCGACGACGATCGTGATCAAGAACGCGAGCGCCTCCGCCAACGCGGTCGGTAACGTACGTCCTCTCTCCCTCCCGCCCCCCTACCCCCTTATCTTTATTTCCAACGCGTGTCGTTGGGTTTACTATAGTCTCTCTCCTGTGCATGTTTATCTTGATTCAAATCCAAACCCCCCCTTCTTTGTTCGAAGGCGGGTTTTCTTTTGTCCGATTTTCAAACGTTGAAACAAAACAAAACCTTAAAAAAAAGGTCAAAAAAGAAAGGGCGAAAATTTGTTGAGTTATAACATGTCCTGCCGATTACCAATCACTTTATAAAGAGAGACGGAGACAACGATACATGGGCATTAGCTGGGCATGGGGCATAAAAAAGCAGAGGAACGTGAGAAAGTGACGCTGGATTTGATCGGTGTTGGACCCGCGACTGCCTCATCTAGGGCTGTACTAGTCAAATCTACATTGTTTGTTAGGGCTCCTTATATATAATATATATATTTGGTCAAATAGGGCTCCTTATGTTTTAATTGTCCCACTAGTCGTCGTCCTCCACGTCCTTTCAAGTATAAATAATAAGATTAGTAATATAAGCAGTCTCTATATAAGAGGATAGAAAGACTTATCCGGAAAGGCGGAGGAGGTGACGTGCGGAAGAGGCTAATTATAGATTACGTAAACAAGAGTGCTGCGAGAAATGATAATTCGAACATTTCATTGTTTCGTCTACGAGTAATTCTATATATAAGTAAAGTCCAATCGGATTGATGGTAAGTTTAGTCTTTTCCCGAGGATAAACGTATTGGTAAGCTTCTCTAATAAAATATGTTTGTTGTCGTCGATGCAAAGAAAATCCTCTTTCGGAGACTGATTTTTGTCGAATTGCGAGTTTTGAGAAAATTTATCCGTGAGATTTTACGAGGCTTTTACTGACTGTTCTAAAATTTTAAGCTATTAAAATATGTAAATGATTTAACACTTTCATTTGCATGTAGTCCGGACTTTGACCTACGATAAAAGTGTGAAAATACAAAATAGGAAAGGCAAATAGAAGTCTAGAAAGATTATAATTCGGGACCTCTTGCTCTAATATCACGAAAGATTTTGTGGATCGACTTCAACTGTTTAGAAATTTAAATTGTTAGGTGAAGGCTTTGATTAATATATCTGAATATTCTAACATTCTCCGGCCTTAATTTTGATTCGTGAGTTATGAAATATGGAAAGCACTCATATGCAAAGCTCAACTAGTATTAAAAGTCAGGGATGTTCACATTTGTATCCTCCCATCAGAAGTATGGGAAGAGATAAATGCTTTAATTATTAGACGCGGAGGAAAACATGGTTTTGTATTTTTCAATTCACGTGGTGCATGATGCTATCTGAAGATGCCACCTCTTCTTTTAGTTTGGAAACTTGGCCCCCTTGTCCGTTATAAAAGTGGGAATAAATTAAAAACCAGCTTTATTCCTCGATATCCTCAGCTAACCAGCTTTATTCCTCGATATCCTCAGTTCACGTGATGGCCCTCTCTGTTTTGTAGTCTTCCTTTGTCTAGAAAGTTTGTTTCTCATTGTAATGATTCTTCGTGGTTTCTTTCGATCCCAATTCGAGTCAATTTCTCAATGCAATCAAGTGGGTATGTAGGTATGTAGTTTGCTTTGAACCCTTTTGACTGTGCGTCAGGATTTTTTTTTTTTTTTTTTGGTCAGGATTTTCATGTTGGCAAAACCTCAAACATGTGGGTTGTAGGTACTTTTTCTTCATTCATATTCACCAACCTAGAAACCAGCGGTTCTATTTCATGTAAATGACGATGGTAGTCCAACAAAATCCCATGTTAGAAGCGTATTTTTTTTTTCCTTTGCTTAGCGAAAACAAGAAAACAAGTTGTCGAAAAATTAAGTTTTTGATGTTTCATGTGATAGAAGGTTCATACGGTGTGGTCATGTCACAACCATTATCAGGAAAAATGACTCAAATCGGTCTAATTGTATCCGTCGTAATATTTTGCATTCGTCAAGGTCTAGTTTCTCTCTATTTTCCGGAATTTGTGTCCCGGGTCAACAAGTCATCGTTCTTCCCCCCGCTTTTTCTTTCTCCTGGAAAAGAAAATCTCCTTTTCATTCCCGTTTCAAGAAAATTAGGAGGGACCAATTCATATTTAAAGCCTTCACAACTTGTTAGCTCTTGTTTTTCTCACCTTCCATTAGTCCGTTCTTAGTCTCAGAGAATCTGGAGTGTGGTTTCCGTGTAAAAGCGAAATTTAGCAGAGCCCTACTCAATCAATCGCCATTGTGTCTCTATAAAATATAATTCCAATAAATTAGTTTCTTTTGCACGTTTCGTCTAGAAACTTTGATTGGGTGTCATATTATGACTTTCTTTCGATGCCGTGCGCTTCCTTTTTTCTAGATGAACAGTCTGAATTCTTCGGTGGCCTAACCAGTGATCAGCTTCTGGTCAACTTCCATTTTCTTGGTCGTTCGCCAACAAATCAGAGCTGCCAACGTATATGAAAATGAGATAATAAATCAAGCAATCTTTATCTCTTCATTATCATTCTATAGTAAAGTTGTAATTCACCAGTAAAATTACGTCAGTAGCTACAAACAAGAAGAAACAGAACCGGCCAAGCAATCCATCCATCTTTTTCTAGGATGTCTTCTGTACATATGTTACTTGTTGGAGACTGTCATCTGGATTGGTCGTTCCAAGTTGATGGTGAATGTAGATTTGTTCTTTGATAAGATGACAACCTTACACCATTCCAGTTACGGAACTGCGTACTGGTGATTTTGTGTTGGCACTGCCTCAGAATTAGCTGCAGATGAATGTTGCTCTAGTTTCGGCCTTTGCTTTGTCACTACTATTGGACATCGATAAATATGCCGATTATGAATTTGCAACATTTACCGAATCAGAATTATGTATCAAGTAGTGATGGCCTACATAAGTGTTGTTCTGTACTACCATAAAGCATTCGATCGGTATAAACGCGAGCTCAAGTGAGAGCAGCATGCATAGGTTGTACACATCTCTGTTGAAATCTCTGACTTAAAAGAAGAAATCTAATTCCTCAATGATTATGATATCATTCACAGGGGGGACTGACTGAACAAACATCCTCTTGTTTTGTCTGCAGGATTCACATTTAGGACAGATACAGCATTCATCATTCCTCGATGCCGTCGAATCCAACCATGAGAACATCCCCGGATGGCCTTGGTTCGTCTTCCTAGCCGGGGCCATGTGCTGCTTAATTTGTAGCTCCCTCTCCCACCTCCTCGCCTCCCATTCCAGAAAGTTCCACTTCTTCTTCTGGCGGCTTGATTATGCCGGGATCTCCGTCATGATCGTGTGCTCCTTCTTCGCCCCGATATACTATGCCTTCTATTGCCACCCCTATTCTTGCTTCTTCTACCTCGGCACCATAAGCATCCTTGGCACGCTCGTCATAATCACTCTTCTCTCACCCAGCCTCTCATCTCCAAAGTTCCGTCTCTTCAGGACCTCCCTCTTTCTCGCCATGGGCTTTTCTGGAGTGATTCCCGCGGTTCATGCCGTCGTTATTTATTGGGGACACCCGCACATTTTCGTCGCTCTTGGGTATGAGCTCCTGATGGCTATTTTGTACGCCTCTGGAGCGTATTTTTATGTTACCAGGATACCCGAGAAGTGGAAACCCGGAGCATTCGACATCGCCGGGCATAGTCACCAAATCTTCCACGTGCTTGTGGTTGCAGCTGCATTGGCTCACTGTGCTGCGACGTTGGTGGTCTTGGATTTCCGTCAAAGAGCACCAACTTGCGCATCATAGGGCTTAGCTACACAGCACTGAGATTTGTGAGATTGTCTTACAATTACCACGTTGCGGTAGCCATTCTGATGCAATGCAGCTTATTGGTCCCCAAAAAGAGAGAAAAAAATGATGCAGCTTCTCTGATAACTTAGCAAGGAATTGTGTAGAGTTAAATGGAGGGAGAGCAGCTCGAAAAGGTGTGCACTCGTGTTGTTGTATGCGAGCTTTTACGCGATTTTGTTTACTTTTGAATTAAGAAAACTACAATATTAGCAGAGAGATTGCTGCTCATGGTTTGCCCAAGGCTCTTCTTGAATGTTTGATTTAACACTACAAAGGATTGTTCACGCTTCGAGCATTTTGTTGGCGCAAAAAAAGCAGACATACCAGAACTTAGAAGATCCTTTGACTTGTGGAGATGAGTCTTACCTCATGCGCTCCTTGACGACCAAGATTATCAAAATTGTTCTTAAATTGATACATGAATCGCAGTGCCAAAGCTTATGCGCCATGTTGCAAGTCGACAGTGAATTTGTCCGGTGTAAGATGAAATTGATTCGGCATTCATCTTCTTTCACTCGCAAAACAGAGTGCATGATCGAATTCTTTCCATAACATTCACAGCGTTGGTTCAATGCATCCCTAGACAGTTGCAAGCAGTAACAAAGTAAAGCCATATCAACCTCACACTCTGGCACTTGGTAGTATTGTCTTCTTGAAGCCAGAGAAAATTAAACATAATGGAGCAATTCAAATCAACATTCCCTCAAGAATCTGAATCCTTGGAGACGGAAAAAATGGCAAAGATGCACAGAGGCACAACAACAAAGGCAGCAATCTTGAGCAAGTCCTCGCCCTCCTTCGAGATCGCGCCGATCCTCGACCAGTCTCCACTGTATCTGGAACACCCAACTGCTGCATCAGACCCCATGAACATGGCTTCGAAGGAACAGGGCACAATTTGAAGAGAGAAAGAGCTTTACCCGGCGTCGACGAAACCCAGTCCAAGCACTGCAATGGCAGCTTGTGCAAGGATCGGGTTCGAAACTCTCAGCGCAAAACCCGGTCGTTGCCGGGTTTTCGAGCTATGGTCAGTGAGATCTCCCTTCTTGGCCACTATGGCCAGAGACTTTCTGCCATTTATGCCCGGAAGCGGATGAGCAGGTACTTTGGTATAGATAAAGCTCGTTTGTGTGATCACCATTCGCCTCTTATACTTGGACCTATAAATGACGTTTCCCTCGCCACAAAGCCCTTTAATACCACAAAGCCAGAGGGTACAAGAAGTCCTGAAAGACCCAAAAATCTTCACGGTCGGATCAATATGACTCGATGCCTGACCGTCGGATGAGATTAAATGTCGATGGTCTGATGAGGCCGTGACAACGACACGGTAGGGAAGCCCCTCCGTTTGGTCTCGTCCTTCGCAGACTAACCAAAGTTACGAAATCAAGAGTAAAGTGGGGAATCGAACCTGCGATGGACAAACGTCTGCACGTTATGGAACGGCTATGAGTGAATTTCGATTAGCTTTTCCAAAAAGAAAAAAAATTAACCCAACTCGATTTTCCAAATTAAAAGATGAACTCTATACTTTGAGAAATAAAAATAAGGGAAAATACCATCAAAAACCCCAAACTATATCACTTGTGACAAATTTACTCTGAACTTTTTTTTGTGACACGAAAAACCTCAAATTATGCCACTTGTGACAAATTTACCCTAAACTTTTTTTGTGGCTCGAAAACTCTCAAATTATGCCACATGTGACACATTTACCCTATAATACTTTCCCACATAGGTATTTTCGTCTTTTTCCTTTTTCTTTTTTTTTTCTCTCTTACCCGACGAGGACTGCCTTCGCCGGATCCGGCGAGGGCGACCCTCGCCGGCATCGGGCGAGGGCAGCCCTCGCCTAAGTCGGGCGAAGTCGCCCTCGCCAGATCTGGCAAGGGCAGCCCTCACCGGGGAAGAGAGAAAAAAAAAACAGAAAAAGGAAAAAGACGAAAATGTCCATGGATCAAAGTATTGTGGGGTAAATGTGTCACGGGTGGCATAGTTTGAGGTTTTTCGTGTCACAAAAAAAAATTTAAGGTAAATTTATCACAAGTAGCATAATTTGAAATTTTTCGTATCATAAAAAAAAGTTCAGGGCGGTTTGGGAATTAGGGAATTTTGGTGGTATTTTCCTAAAAAATAAAGTCAAATATTGACGACCTCGCACACTGAGTCTCTGTTATCCACATATTCACCGCTACTCCATCGTCCTCTAAAGACCTCATCGCAGGATACAGAAGCACGCAGAAAACAAGAAAGCAATGGCTTCCTTGACCATGGCTTCCTTCGCCCTGAGACTCCCCCCTCCGTCCTCTCGAGGGTCGGTACGTCTCGCGCCGCTCCATGCCGCGGCCAACTCCCTGAAGCTCAGCTCCGTCCGTTGCATCTCCGGGTTCCCCTCGCTCCGGTCCCGCAATGCCTCCGCCGCGGTCGCTCCCCTGCCTCGGAGCCCCCCGAGGCCTCTGACCGTCGTCTCCGTGAAAGGCTACAAGATGAAGACCCACAAGGTGCTTTTTGGGGTTTTTCTAGTTTCTCTCGGTCTCTCTGTTGATGGGTCTTTCTTCTTCTTCGAGTTTATCTTGTTGAGAGGAGTGGTTGGTTGAAAAATGGCCTCTTGGTGCTTCGTGTGATGGCGAATTTTGTGGGTAGGCTTCGGCGAAGCGATTCAGAGTGACGGGTAGAGGGAAGATTGTGCGGAGGGGAGCTGGGAAGCAGCATCTGCTGGCGAAGAAGAACAACAAAAGGAAATTGCGATTGTCAAAGATGGTGGGTTCTTTTTTTTTTTTTTTGTGGAATTCACTGTCGTTGCCCCGGAATTTGTTGCTGTTGTTGATTTTGTTGCTGCTACTGTTTAATTTGTTAACTTGCTGCTAGTTTCTGCCAGAAATGCATGTTTGTTGCAGAATTGACTGGAACTAGAGCACTTTTCTTGATGATTATTTTCGATAAGGAAAGGGTGCATAAAACGGTTATTGAATTTTGCTGAAACTATGTTTCGAATACCAGTTACCAATTGCGGGATCATCTGTAAATAAATAGACAAGCTGGTGCACTCATTTCTTTCTCATCCTCCACCTTCTTATGTGATTCAGTCATGGACTTGCTTCTTTAGCATTCTATGTGCGGAGTGATGCTTTTTGCTTCTCTGGACTGTTTATTTAAATGATCGATATGCTTGTGTCCTGCCTCGTGCTATTTTGAAGAAGCCTCTGACTGTTTGGACTATAGTTAACTTCTACGATGGGGTCTTTCTTTCTTCAACTAAGTTCAGTTACCTGCTATAAAGTTTTATAATCCTGATTCATATCTAGTACAGGGTCTTACACACTTTGCAAATTTGCATCAGCAGTAATTGGACTCGGTTTTGAGATACCTGTTCTATTTCTTTCTTTCATCATTGGTTGCTAAGGTAGCCCAAATAAATGCTTACGGGAAGCTATGTATACGAAAGGAACTCTTGGCAGTGCACATGGCGTAAAATGTAGTGGGTTGGAGTTCATAATTTATTGTTTGGCTGTTGGTGTGCATCTCATAGTAGTAATTTTAGATCAGTTGGAACATAGGTGGTGATTTACTGGCTTTTTGCAAAAGAATAAGTTGGTTTCATGTGGATAAATGGAACTTTTGTAGAGTGAATAATGCTATCAAATGGTTGTTCTCGATGCCATAGAGATTCAATCAAGTAAAAGCACTGGCAATCCGCTACCCGAAGCACCTCTTTCTCCTTTGACTAAGACTGCATGTTATATTTATCGATGAGTACACAAAATGCGCCTGAAAAATCTTTTGTAAATTGGTTAATTGACCTCCTTGGTGGTTTCTTAGTTGAAGATAGTAATTTTATTCAAATGTCGACATGCAATTATAACATGACGCTCTTGCACCTTACATTGTTTGCATTGTCATCATGAAACATATAGTCATCCATGAGAGCATGAATTGTTGCCTTTGTTTGCAGAATCAATTACAATAGCAGATGATCAATAAATTGATTTCTTTGATGCGAAAATGGCAATATCTATTTAAATAATAATCTTTTTTAAAATTTCTAACTTTCATCTTGAGCTAGGTCCTTTGACATGATAATTCCTTCTTCTTCTTTCCTGAGGTCTACCTTTCATGTTGGCAATAGCTTCTCAACTTTCTGTGATATTATTTGTGGTAAATGATCTCAATGGGAGAACTTCATTGAGATTGCAATGTAATTTGTGAATGCTATCGTGTCGACATGAGCTTCTTTGATGTGGTCATAATTTGGGATTCACTCTTACAAGAGTTCATTTGTTGTCAATGCAGCACCCTGTCAGCCGCAGTGACTATGACAACGTCATCGGTGCCTTGCCGTATTTGAAAGTCAACAGACTGGCAAGGTAGAGGAATTTTCTTTTTTCTGATGAAGGCGCTTTTGGTTTGTTTCCTGTAATTGCTTCATTCATGCGAAACACCACTGCTTTCTGATTGTTCCATTACAGATCAAGTCTAATGAAGTTTAGTCTTTCTCATTTAACATGTTATGCACCTATGAGGATGAACTTCACAGATGGCAGCTTGTATAAATGAGTACTCATCCTAAATCTTGCCATTTGAGTTGGATTTGCTTTCTTCTTTCACAACTTTGTGCCCCAGAAGCGCGCATCGACGCACACGACTCCTGTTGTCCCTGCCATTCAGTTCTTGATGCTCAATTGGGAGATCCTGTTTAATCCCCTCCAGGCTGCATCTTCAAGACTTTGATTTGCCCCTCCACATCACAGGCTCGAGTACGGCGCGGTTCTCAACGATCCTTGGTAAAATCAAGAAAAGGCTAGACAAGTGGTCACAGCTTTCGGATGCACCCGAATAAAAGAAGCCTCATTTACTAAAGGAAGACCAAGCTTGGCGCCATGGAATGGCTGCGGGGAACAGAGAGAGAGAGGAGAGTAGTTTGAGAGAGAGACTTCAGTTTAAAGAAAAAACAAAGAAAGGTTCAAAGTAGACATGGCCACGGGCCGGTTTTGGCCCGGAACCGGCCCGGGTCAAACCCGGGACCGGCCCGTTGACTGGGCCCGCGGTTCCGAACCGGAACCGGCCCGTGGCCTATGGGCCCGGTTCCGGTTCCAATAATTTTGGAACCGTCGGTTCCGGGCCCGGTTCCAAAAAAAAAACTACTGTTGCAGCGATTCCTCTTCTCCAGAATCTTCCCCTCCTCCGCCGTAGCAACCCATGGCCCACGCGCTCCCCCTGCAGACTAGCAACATCGCCAACGGCGGCGTGCAAGGGCAGGACCGTGGAGGAGACCTACCAGAAGAAGTCCCAGCTCGAGCACATCCTCTTCCGCCCCGACACCTACATCGGCTCCGTCGAGAAGCACACCCAGTCGCTGTGGGTCTACGAGGGCGACGAGGTGGTCCACCGCCCCGTCGCCTACATCCCCGGCCTCTACAAGATCTTCGACAAGATCTTCGTCAACGTCGCTGACAACAAGCAGCGAGAGCCTGCAGCCCCACGTTCCAACCCCACCCACGCCCACCTCCTCCAGTCCTCCTCCAAATCCCTCCTTCCCCCCTCTCCCCTGCGCCTCCTCGGGTCCTCCCCTTTTCTCTTCCGCCCGCCCCCCGTCTTCCCAGATTTGACCCCTGCCGCCGTCGCCCCCGCCCATGGCCGCAACCGCCGACGCCGACGCCCCCTCCTCCTCCCCCCTCGCTACCCTGCGCCTCCTCCCCTTTTCTCCTCCGCCCCCCTCGAACCGGAACCGGCCCGGAATCGGAACCGGCCCGGAACCGCCGGTTCCGGTTCATACATGGCCACGAACCGGAACCGCCGGTTCCGAACCGGAACCTACGGTTCCTAAACCGTGGCCATGTCTAGTTCAAAGTAATCAAGTTCCCTTATTTTCATCTCAAATCACGTGGTCAAGTGCAGCTAGCAGTGCTCACTAGTTTTGATTAGAAAGCAACTGATGGGTTGGAATTGGAACTCGGTACCGTAACGGAGAACTCATACTTGTCTGTCTCCAAGTAACGTAGTCGCCACTTCCCTACCTTTGTCTCCCAACTAACGTTCCATTGTTCAGCAGCGCAGTCAACTCCACGAGAGCTTGTCCTTCTAGTTCTCTATTTTATAGGGTAAATCTCTTTTGCTGGCAAGAGTCATGTCCCTTACATGCGACATGAAAATGGAATGACAGTTGCCCACGAATTACAGATTTTCACAAAACTACAAGAGAAAAAAACATCACCTTCCCATGCCTCGGGGACTTTAAGAACAGACCATCACGCGAATCGGGAGCAATCGCCCTCTCTGTCTGATTTCTTGGCCAGAGATATTGGCGTCGCAGACATTATTGCTGTCGCTTCCGTTTGTCTATTTTAGCGAAGCAACCACCCAATAACACCGCTGGTTTCTCTTTAAAAATCGTTTCTTGTTTCCCCATTCCTCAGAGTATTCAACAACTTCTCGAGGGAAAAAGATGGCCAATCCCAAATGGGGTTTCCTCCTCCTCGTTCGGGTCTTCGTCTTTGTCATCAATCTCCAGTTGGGTGTCTCGGAGGAAGACCCGCTCGTCCAGCAGCAGCTGGACAGGGTTCTCGAGCTCCCGGGGCAGAGCTTCAACATCAGCTTCGCCCACTACTCGGGCTATGTGTCGGTCAATCAAGAATCGGGGAGGGCCTTGTTCTATTGGTTCACTGAGGCCGCTGAGGACCCTGATTCTAAGCCCCTTGTGCTTTGGCTGAATGGAGGTGAAAAATCATCTCATAGCTTTAAGCATCTATTCTGACTTTTGAGTATTGAATTTGTTTTGGCTTTTTGCTGCTTTTAATAAATCGGTTATCCGATCCTTTCGACTTGACTAATCCCGCGGATTTTCGCCGTTTCGGTGGTGTTTTAGTACAGTATATGAAATGATGTTTGCTTTGCTTCCCTTTCACTCATTCTTTTTTGTTTCTGATTGAGACTGTCCTGTCTTTCTTTTGCGGTTTTTGGCCTTACTCTTTTCCGTAGATGTTAGCTTTAGTTGTTGATATGAGTTAATTCCGCTTTTCTTTCGATGCTTTTGTTCTTTTGGCTACAATTTGCATCTTACCAGTGATGTAATAAGCTTCTTTTTCACCTGACGTGCTGTTTTTTGTTGTACTGTGGAGTCTTTTGTTATTTTTGGCTTCATAAAGCTGGCTTTTCCAAAGAGGCTTTCTCTTCTAAGCTTCAGATGGGTTGCTGCAGGGCCAGGGTGCTCGTCAATCGCTTATGGGGAGGCGGAGGAAATAGGCCCTTTCCATATCCGGCCGGATTTGAGCCTCTATCTCAATCCTTACTCTTGGAATCAAGGTAACTAATAGCTTGTCATTATGCTAAATTGTTCGGTAATGACTTATGAGTTTATTTCTTAACTGTAGCTTTGTTGTTCCCTTTTACCCATTATGAACAGCATTCAGAATTCCCACTATGCTACCTCAAGTTTTGGTATTTTTGTTTCGTTGTCTCATTATTTGATTGTTATGGTGTTCGAACTTTAGTTATTCAATTGGCTAATTGTGTCCCCATTTTTGGAGTCACGAATTTCTGCGTGCTCTTTATGTACTTTAAAAATCAACTGTCTCCTTCTGTAGGAGGCCACTTATCTAATGAACTTCATTTTCTGATTCCATCTTCTTTTTAACATCTTCCTCTCCTTTTTCTCGGATAATTTTGTGGGTGAAAGATCACATTGATAAACTGCCTGGATAAAAGTCTGGCAGAAAAAAAGAGAAAGAAACAGCCAACTAGTCATTATATGTCCAGTGTATATTTTGATGTGGTGAAACTCAAATGCAAATTAGTTCACAACCTCGTCTGACTCCTACATTACCAATCCTGCAGTTGCCAACTTGTTGTTTCTTGATTCACCTGTTGGTGTTGGTTTTTCCTACTCCAATACGTCCTCGGATTTGCTGAACAATGGAGACAAAAGAACTGGTACTATAATTATTCTTTTCCAGTAATGTCCAACCTCCTTGTTCTTACATGTGACTTCCTCACATTTCCATGTGTTGCCATCGCGATACTTTCAGCTGAGGATTCACTGGCGTTTCTACTCAAGTGGTTTGAGCGCTTTCCCCAGTTGAAAGGGAGGGAATTCTATATCACAGGAGAGAGCTATGCAGGTACCAATTGTGCTTATTGCTGTATCGATTCAATGCAGATTAGCCAAAAACATCTTCTTTAGATAATTTGGTTAAAAACTCAGCTTTTTGCTTAGCTTTTATCATCATTTTCCGAATCGCTATTTTCCAAGGTTAGCGAAATTCTGCTGTGCTCTTTGTTGTATTAAATGAATCGATCTGATTCTCTCACTTTCTGGTTGCACCAAGTATACTACGTCTTGGAGAGTCCTATTTGACCTTTCAATATAGGTATGTCCACATGCATGCTCGGCCGTGCTCGCAGATTTTATCAAGGCTCTTTCAATATTCTTTCTTCTGGCTTCCTATTGAGTAGAAAAACTATCATATGGGTTTTTACCACCTTCCACTATTCATATAGTAGGATGAAATGTCATTTAATTATTATTTAAATGTTGTGGTTTCTGCATTCAGAGGCATAGTGCCAGTCAAAGATACACCGTATTGTTAAAGTGGAGGTTTTCCTTTACTAATGCACTTTGGAATGTGATGAAGATGCAGAAACACTGACTGGCTAAAATTGCAGGTCACTATGTTCCTCAATTGAGCAAAGCCATTGTAAAGTACAACAAAGCATCCGGTGAAAATGTAATCAATCTGAAGGGCTATATGGTATGTACCTGTCTTTCTGGAGGAAAACATTACTGCATGTTCGATGCTCATTAACTAAATTCATATGTACATAATGCAGGTCGGAAATGCTCTAACTGATGATTACCATGATCATCTTGGGGTCTTCCAATTTATGTGGTCAGCTGGTTTGATTTCTGATCAGACATTCAAGCTGCTGAATGTTCTCTGTGATTTTCAGTCTTTTATACACACCTCAAGTGCTTGTGATAAAGTTCTAGACATAGCTAGTGACGAACTCGGAGATATCGATCCATACAGTATATACACTCCTCTTTGCCCTGTTAATGGTAGCCAGTCAAACCGCCTTCGCAAAAGAATGAAAGTGAGTTCATGTTCTTTTAATAAAGGCAAACATTACTTATTCTTTCAATGTCCGTGATATGTCTGTAGATCCAAGCCTAGACCAGAGCTTAAACTATGGCTCTTACACTAATAACGTTAGTATTTGTAGTATTTATTTGAACCTGTTGGTTGACTGGTTCTCTCACCTGGCCAGTTTTTAAAACAGTGGTTTATTCTGTATTGGTTTTGTGGATTAACATAGTTACTTGGTTGGTTTACAATAGTTACTGGCTCAGGAGGGATGATACCGTACAAAATTGGACAGTCTTGCTGGTAGGAACTAACTCTAAAATAGCATGAGCTCTTGCTCCCCTACTGCTTCTCTATATTACCTTAAGTTGACACTACTAGATGATTGATACATATGAGAGTAGGGTGCTGCCAAAAGAGATACTATAGCAGGTGATTGTCCACATAATTCTTCCAGGGGAAGATTCCCAAAACTCTTGTTTTGAAGATTATCGGTACTAGCACTTGCAAAAGATAAAGACCAAATTTCTCTTTGCGTAATTTTCACTTATCTATACAAGTGGGAAAGAGCTAGCTGAGATTCTCCAGAGCAGTTCTATTCATCATTTGATCAAGCGTCATGTGTTTAGTTGGCAACAGCAAGTCTCCTGTTATCCACTGACTACTTAGATGCGACAATAATTAAAGCTAATATAACCCAGAATTGTCTCCTTTTAAATATTTTCACTAAAAAATGGTTGTTTGTTCCTGGATATCTACTCGGTAATAACTCGACTCTGGATCTGTCCTTAGTAGTACTTTGGACTAGCTGAAGTTTGACTAACCACAGAATTTGTCACATGATTTCGGCTCTCCACACTTTCTTTTCTTGGTTTAAACAGAAGAATTAGGGGTACAATGGGACAACAAACATTAGATTGCATTTTCACTTGCATTTTCATGAAGAATGCAATCTATTGCTTTTGTCTGAAGTTTGACTTACTCACACTTTGGCATATTCTTCCAGTAATTTATTGTTTTTTTACATTTCAACCTTGTAATCCTTACAATTGTTCAAGCTTTTGTCAAGATATCTCTACCCTATTTTGTGATGGTGTCTTGAAATGCACAGTATAACCAGTTTGTCCAGCATACACTCACGCTTCACACAATAATTTTACCGCCTTGTGGAGCTGAAATGGTTCTTAATAGGCAAGTTGAACAGAAAGATAGTACCGTGCTCTCAAAAAGCATTATGTTTTCTATATGTTTTGTGGGTGTTCTTGAAAAATAATGTCTTACAGGTCATTGGCCATGTCAATGAGAAATATGATCCTTGCACAGAGGAGCACTCAGTTAAATACTTCAACCATGCTGAGGTTCAGAAGGCACTTCATGTTGACAAGGAATTTACGCCAGCTAAATGGGACACTTGCAGGTGCATATCATTTAGTGCGACTCATAAATACTCAGGCTTGGTGCCCTGGATTGAATTTTCATTCTTGTGTACAAGCATAAGTTCCAGTGAATAATCAACCTCATAGCTTCTGGTTGGTAAATCAATGGCAAGAAATTAATCTTCTCCCCCCTAAGGGACTGACATTAATCTTAGTTAGAAAATGGTATGAAATAGAATCTATGGCCATTAGCCCATTACCCATTGTAAGTGATCAAGGAAACATAAGGAGCAAAAGAAGGTAGAACAATGGGCTAGGTATACGGGTTTTTCTGTTGTTCTATCCTTCAGCTGCATAATTCTAAAATAGGTTTGCTGAGAGTACTAGTTCAAGATCTCCAATGCAGTGATGAATGTATGCATCATTTCGATGCATCTTCAGCTGTGCATGATCTCCTTACATAACTGAACACAAGCATCCGTGTTGCAAAGTTGTGCTTTCCTTACCTCAGCAAAGGGGTGATGCATAATTTGCAGCAATTCTTATCTTGTTCTTCATTCGAAACATGAAACCATGGTACTGATTGAGGTCCTAGTGGAACTGTCTTTTAAAGTGGGTTTTTATGGGAACTAAAGCTTGGTCATTGTCCACCCTGAGCGAGATCAAAGAAGTCACAGATATTTTTCCCACCTTGCCCTCCCCATGATAGCCTAGTCTAATAAAAAAAAAAAGGAGAGTCGGCTCTTTCGTGAGTCAATTCTAAACTTTGTTTTGTACATGTGACATGCACCACTATGGAGCCATCCTTTCGTCTCTCCCTTTTGCTTCGTTTTCCTTGGAGGTTATGGTGTATTGCAATCTTTTACCGCATTCAAATTTGTGATCTGCAGTGACTTAGTAAATGAGAATTGGAAGGATTCTCCTCGTACGGTGCTGGACATCTACCGTGAGCTTATGCACGAAGGACTTCGTATCTGGATGTTCAGGTATCTCTCGAAGAATGAATGTATTCCTTCTTTCGAATTGACGAAGTGTTAGATTCAAGTTTTCTAGGAGTTGTATATTAACTTAAACAGCAGCAGTCTTTTTCTTTTGTGGCTATAGCAAGAGAGGCAGTCCATTTGAATATGCTTTCCCAGATATATGTAGGTGTAGGATCCATTTCATGAGGCAAATGTAAGAATTGATCAATTATGTACCTTATAATACAACCATACAGAAGGGAAAATCTAGCTTCCCTTAGATTTGTTGGTACAAATTTAGTGTTGGGCCATTCATAAAATTAATTTATAACCTTGGAGCTGTTGGTACAAGGATGTTCAGACAATGGCTTTAGTGTAGTGTTAATAGGGGATCATGTTCATTCTGAGATTCCATTTTATTTAGTACACTGGTCTATCATTGTGGTCACATCCAGATACCGGGTTTTGTCATATTGCACATTATATAAGATGAGTGACAATGTTGTTCTCTTACTTCATCCATCTCTTTCCCTATGACAGTGGTGATACGGATGCTGTCATCCCCATCACATCCACGCGGTACACGGTAGATTCTTTAAAGCTTCCAACTGTGGAGCCTTTTCGCGCTTGGTATGATGATGGGAAGGTAAATTTCTATGGCTCTCTCTCTCTCTCTCTCTCTCTCTCTCTCTCTCTCTCTCTCTCTCTCTCTCTCTACAGTATGTTGTTGCTAAATCAGGAAGCATGCTTGCCATTTATTGAAAGGAAAAATTGGAGAGCCGCATCGTTGCACTTCGTAAATTGCAGATACCCATTTATTATAAAGCACATGATTTGACCCTCTCTCAAAATTGTTTATTCCTCATTCCAAGGCAAACTGATAGGGCATTTTCTTGTCAGCGACAAAATTTTATGTTCTTTCAAACAGGGGCGATGCCTACTTAACATAATTTTCATGAAAGATGTTGGATCAATTTAGCATTTGTGTAAGCAATGGCAAAGCTGTAATCTTGGGTTAAAACATGATTTGTTCTTCCAGGTGGGTGGATGGACTCAGGAGTATGCGGGACTCACCTTTGTATCTGTGAGAGGAGCAGGTCATGAAGTGCCTCTTCATAAACCGAAGCTAGCTCTTGCACTCATCAAAGCCTTCTTAGCAGGAACTTCGATGCCGTCACTCGAACTAGTTAGCGATTCTTGAAAGTTCTTGTACTCACAAGTGCACTTTTCCAGAGGGAAGTTCTCTATGGGGTTGTAAGTCATTTAATTTCTGCGCACATATTCGTGATGGAGAAAAGCGTTCATGTGGGACTTGAAACAAGACCCGAACTGTAAATGAAAAAGAATTTCAGATTGCCCAGTTTCTTTCTCTCTTTAATGTTTTAAGAACATTCAGGTTGCCATAAGTAGAAGATTGTCGCCTTGAGTTTGACATAGTGTGCGATGGCTTTTCGCAGCATCGAGGATCAACTTTTGTTACCATCTAGTTGAGGGGAAAAGCTTTGCTATGCTTTGCCATCATAAGAAATTGTCCTCAGTATAGATCAGACTCATCATGGTCAACGTCGCCGTTAGTTCGGAATGGTTCTATTTTGTACGACGAAATAGAACTCATGCTGATTTTGACAAAGCCATCTGCTGATTTAGAAAGATAAATTTCTCCTCAAATTCGAGTTTCGATGGCTCCTACCTCTGGAGAATTCCCTATGAAGTTTTACATAAAAGAATCACTTAGGTTTTCACGTCTGTATGCAGGCTTTTGGAGTACCTTTGGAGTTCATAGCTGTAATTGTTTAGTCACTGAGGGGCTTAAAGAGCTGGACACTCCATTGTTGGCCTAAGAAAAAGGACAGAGCATCCTTCAAATTCTTTCAGAATGGCTATTTGCCATGGCTATTCCATTTTACCATACACTATTACGATGAACATGGCTTTTCACCTAATTTCTTCCTGAAAGCTTCTTAGATTGTATTAAATCTCTTGCTTGCGATAATTAAGAGCACATGGTCACTGAAAATCGCTCATGAACCGTTTGATTAAATGACACAACTTAAATAATTTGTCTATACTAATCTCTCAAATGTTACAAACATGTCAATACATCATTCTACATTATTGTTTTCAGCAGCTTTCTTGGATTCACATGCTATATCTGCAAAGGTATGAAGCATGTTTTTGATGTACATAGTCAGTGAGGCCTCTTTCAAGAACGCAATAGACAGCCTGCGTAGATTAAACCGTGGACTTAACGCACGATCATCTAGCACTACTTTATCATACAAACATAGGTAACTCGCAAATTAATCGACCCATTGTTTATAAGGGTGTTCCATTATAAATGGTTAGCTATCGCAACCATTTTTCCTTTCTAATAGAAATTTGAGAATCTAATGAACTTTCTAATGTTGTTTTCAATCTTGAGTTGCTAATCCCCGTCTTCTGAAGTTTGAAGGCATATTTCCAACTGTGGGGAGGATTTGAAGTCAAGCTTTTAGTTCACATTATCAAGTACTTCAAATTCCTGCGATCTTTTTACTTTCAAGCAATCTTGGTCACATGTTTGATGCCTAATCAAAGCAAAAAATGCGCTGGCCAGCAACATAATCATTGATGTTACGCCTAATCAAGCAAATCCAACAAATATCATTCAAAGCATAATATGATTGTTGAATTTACTTTAAATTTTCATTGTATCCTTCAATTCTTTGCATTTATTTTTTCATAACTTCAATTCCAGTCATTTTTTTTTCTTTCAATATATTTCAATTGCGTGTAATCTCAATTCCAATGTATTCGCTTTCCATTGCACTTGGTTTCGAGTAGAATTCGCACTCAATCGAAGCCCCGTTCGTGGACTTTGTGCTCGAGCTTGGAATCGAAGAGTAATCCCTATCACTCTCCTTGAAATCGAGTTACTCCAGCACATGTCAATTTTCATCAATATGTTTTTGGTATGTCGCAAATTGATCGTAGTTAGGGGTGAGCATGGTTCCAGAGTAGAACCTGAAATCTGAGAACCTGATCGGTGAGAACCTGTAGATTTCAGGTTCCAAAGTATGCAGGGTAGGTTCCAGATTCCAAAAATTAGGAAACCTATTTCAACGGGTAGGTTCCGGGTTCTAGGTAGGTGAAACCTTAAACCTTAAACCTAAACAAATTTTTTGTATTTTTTCTTTGTCTATGTCTTCGTATGATCCTGCGGTGTTTCGTGGCATTAGATGATGAGTGTATAATCTGGAACCACTAGTCTAAGCTTTCATTTTATGATTTATTAATATTTCATATTCTTCTTATGTCTAAATATAAATTGTGGTCAGTGGATCAAAGCAGTAAATAGTGGTCATTAAAAGTGATGATTTACTGTAATTGTTTAATTAATAATACAGGTGGAACCTCGGTAGGCCCTGGAACTGACCCTAGAACCTGTGATAGGATAGTTTCCATATTCTAAAAAATGAGAAACCTATTGTCATGAACAGGTTCCAGGTGGAACCTGTATAGAACATGAAACCGCTCACCCCAGTATCGATTCACACAATGACTTCTCATTTTAATTGTATTTATTTGAACTGTAATGCCAGGACAACTAGTCTTTTGTATTCTCTTTGGTAAATGATAAGCTTGTTCAGTATTGTTGTGTTCATTTTCGTTTTCTTTAACTAAAAATGAAATAAATAAAAAAGAACCTATTAGACCCTGTAACCTATGATAAGGTAGGTTCCAGGTTCTAAGAAAGGAGGAACGTATACCCGAGGGTAGGTTATAGGTTCTAGGTGAAACTTGTAAGGAACTTGAACCGCTCACCCCTAATTGTGGCTGTTCCTTTTTTCCCTGGTCGACTATAATGAAACTCTTTAACTTTTATGGGTGTAAAATATGTAAGTATCTTGATTATGTCTTTTATTGAACTTTTTTAACTGCTAATATTAATAACGGATATATCACCCTATTTACAGGCTTTATTATATAACTATTATAAGATAATATCTCAATCATGTGAACAATCAAAAGGAGATATACGTGCAATATAAGTTGTGGGAGTTTCCAGTGCCATATATAATCAAGTTTTGAACATTACCACATAGCCTCTAGCTTGTATAACAACTTTATTTGTCGCCGAAGAGAAAACTATAGGAAAAGCATGTGCTGACTTGGCATAAAATGAAAACTCTAAGAATTGCTCAACTAAGAACATAGAAATGAAAGAGTTGATGCTTGATGATGAAATGCATGAGAAATACGAAAGAGGTTCCATCGGCAATTGAAAAGTAAATGATTTAGTTACAACAAAAGGTATGTTATCTCTGAAGATATATGGCTTGGACTCATTTCACAAAGTAAGCTAATCACCCGCATCTACTACACTAGTACTTGGCAGGAGAAAAGTGTCAAAAAAGTTCTAAACATTTTGCATATGTGCTATTTAATTCATAAACATTTTATCTTTGTGCCAATTCAGTCCTTCCGGCTAATTTTTGCCGAATATTGCTGAAGTAGATGCTGACCAGCCTACGTGGCACCACCGACACTGACATAGACAACTTTTAATAATAATAATAATATTTTTTTTTCTATTTTTTTCTTTTTTTTCCTTCTTTTCTTTTGCCCTTTCTTCTACCTTTGGCTGGTGATCGAACACTGGCCATCGGCCATGGTCGACCACCTGGCCTCAACCGAACGAGGCCGACGTCGCTCGCCACACAGGCGAGGCTCAGCCAAGCCTTGCCTGGGCAAGGGCGTTCCCTAGAGAGGGTAGGCAAGGCCAGACGAGGGTCGGCCTCACCCAGGCCAGATCTAGCGAGGCCGACCCTCGCCCAAACCATGGCAGCCTCGCTAAATTTTCCCTGGGCAAGGCCGACCTTTACCTAAGCAGGCTACCTTCGCCAGATCTGGTGAGACCGTTATGGCTTGGGTGAGGGTCGGCCTCACCAAATTTGGCCTGGGCAAGGTTGACCCTCACCGGGCCTTGCCTGCCATCACTAGGGAATACCCTCGCCAAGGCTCGGCCTAGGCCTCGCCCGTGGTGGGCAACAGCGGCCATGGCCGGTGACCGGTGTCCAGTCACTGATCAAAGGTAGAAGAAAGGAAATAAAAAAAGAAAATAAGGAAATAAAAAATAAAAAATTATAAAATTAAAAAATATTATTAAAAATTGTTTACGTTAACGCCGGTAGTGTCACATAAGCTGACCGGCGTTCACGTTAGCAATATACGGTCAAAATTAGCCGGAAGGACTTAATTGACACAAAAATAAAAGGTTTAAGACTAAATTGCACAAATACAAAAGGTTTAGCACTATTCTGACACTTTTCCCTACTTAGCGGGATTGTTGGTCTCTTGCAAATATTATCTCTACTATTTGGTGCTAAAACCCTCGTGGCTTTTATGGGTGTAAAGTATGTAAAGTATCTCGATAATGTCACCTATTGAACTTTTTTAACTAGGAGACATTACTACATGCCCTCTGGCCTGTACAACCACTTCATTTGTTGCCGAAGAGGAAACTATTGGAGAAACATGTGATGACCTAGCAGAAAATGAAAACCCTAAGAATTGCTCAACTATGAACATAGAAATGAAAGAGTTGATATTTGATGATAAAATAGTTGAGAAATTGGAAAGAGGTTCCACTAGCAACTGTGAAGTAAAAGATTTAGTTCCAGTAAAAGGTACGTTATCTCCGAAGATATATGGCATTGACTCATTTCACAAAGTAAGCCAATCACCCTTCCACATCAATTGCACTAGTAGTTGGCGAGATCATTGGTCTCTTGCAAACATTATCTCTACTATTTGGTGCTGTAACCCTCATGGTCGTTTTGGGTGTAAAGTCTTTAAGTGTCTTGATTATGTCTCTTATTGAAACTTTTTTAACTACTAATGCTAATGAAGCATAAATCAGTCTATTTATAGGTTTTATCAAATAAATATTCAAAGATAATATCTCAATCAAAATATGCACAATCAAAGGGAGATATACGTGCAATGTAAGCACAATATAGGCTGTGGGAGTTTCTATTGCTATATTTAATCAAGCTTTGAATATTACCACATACCATTTGGCCTATATAACAACTTTATTTGTCGCCAAAGAGGAAATTGTTGAAAAAATATGTCTGACTTGGCAGTAGATGAAAACCCTAAGAATTGCTCAACTAAGAACACAGAAATTAAAGAGTTGATGCATGATGATGAAATTCTTGAAAAATTAGAAAGATGTTCAACCAGCAACTGAAGTAAAAGATTTAGTTCCAAGTACGTTATCTCTAAAAATTTATGGCCTAGACTCATTTCACAAACTAAGCCAATCACCCTTCCGCATCTACAGCACTAGTAGTTGGCGGGATCGTCTGGTGCTGAAATCCTCCTAGATTTTATGGGTGTCAAATCTTTAAGTGTCTTGATTATGTCTCTTGTTGATCTTTTTTAATTGTTAATATTGAAAAAAAAAACATCAACCTACGTATATAAAGAAGTACTAATGAAACATTTGCAAATGATTGAAATTAATGGTTTTGAATTTCCACAAATAAGTATAAAACATGTTAAGGGTCTATTGAAACAATGACACATACACGATATTTGGATTCTTTGTGAAAATCGTCAAGGAGTTCAAAAGTTATGTCAAGTGGTTCAATGGAATGAAATGAGATAATCGGGCTTCCAATTTATTTATCAGGTAAATTGCAAATTCGTAAAAAGGAATGGTGATTGTTTTATTTTGATTATAAATTTTTTTAATGTAATGGAATAGCATTGTTCTATTGTTAAAATTCATTATGATATTCCCAATCAGATTATTGCATATGCATGGATATTCTTAAGAACTGGGAAATAATCTTCAAAATAATGAAATATAACCAAGTAGAGGAACCAACCCGTTTGCTGTTGTTGGGGAAGAGGTTGGGAGGAGCAGGATACAAGCTGCCTTTGAGGAAGTCCTAGACGAAGTTTTTCTTCCTGGGTTTGCAGTAAGTAGATCGATACGAATTGCCTTATTAAAGGATCTCCAACTCGATAGTGAAACAACATGAGTTGAGGTTTGAAACATCGCCCGTTCACGGTGCAACGTAAAGAAGCTAGGGCCGATGCGCCGGCTCCCTTCTCACCGACAGCACAACTACGTGGTTGCTTTCTTTACTATACCATGTGTTAAGCAAGTGAAATCGTAAAATATGAGCAACACTGAATCCCACGAGAGCCCAAACCTCCATTTCTCTTGCCCGTGGTCGGCAAATCCACCCCACGGTAACCTTGATGATTAATTCATTTGATTAAATATGTTAAAACTAATTTAACCTTAAATTGCCTACTCGTTATTATAACTTTTCCACTCAATACGGTTCCGTAATCAACACAAATCAATCGCGTAATTGACAATTTAATGTTCGATAAATAATTGACATACATGAATAATTATCATGATAGGAAATATCGCAACATTGGAATTTGATGGTATGATCATTAATCACTTATAGTTATATAGCAATGGTGGAGGAGGACCGATGAGCTCTTGTAGTGACAGAATGGCCCATTCCACCTCAACCTTTTAGAAAGGTCAAACGAGTATCAAGTTCGCTTAAAGGGAAAGAGAGTTTGCTTCTTTTCATGTAATTTTGAATTCAAAGAGTAAAATCCTAAATGCATCGTGCCGACACCCGAGAGTGCTCCCTAAAATCTTTAGCGAATGGACTAGTCGAGGTGCACGAAATCCGGCTCAATAATCATAATATGAAATTTGACTATGAAAGCCCATAAAAGGTGATCGTTGTGCAGGGAAAGCCTCTGAGATTTCACACTATTGGCGCCTCTCGAACACCCCCCGTACCTTGGACTTTCAGCTCCGGTAAGACGCTGGTTTCTTCCTGCGAGCACCACCCGCTTCTGTTCCTCGCGCCGTTTCTTGGTTTTTCGCTAGGTTGTTTTTTTCCCTGGTTTCGTTTCCACATTACATATCTCCACGCTTCATTTTGGCATTCGTTTTCTCCCTTGCCCCTCGTTCCGTTTCTGCGTTGTTCGGATGCATCGTGAATGTGCAATTTCTCGTTGTTCTCTTCATTCCTTTCAGTTTTTTGGGCGATATCAAGACGAGGGTGAGTTCTTGATTTTGATCATTTGGGGCCACAAGTGCGACCGTGACGAACTGTGTGTTTCTTAGTGGGTTTTGGAGATGTGGGGTGTAGTAACGTTGGGTATGCCCTCTAGGTGTTTGATAATATGTCCCGAGGGTCGATGCTTTTAGTTACGGGTGCACCTTGCGTTACCCCTTTGGCAGAGGCTCTCGTTTTTTTTTTTTTTTTTTATAAAGATGGAAGAGTTTTCCCATGCTTACTTATATGCCCGTACGTGTGTAAGAAGAAGAGAATTCATTTGAGTTTCTCTTCTAGTTATTTTTTTTTGGCCTTTTCCTGAAGATAATGATGGGATATTGATCCAATTAATTTGGCAGGAGTTTAATTCCGGGATTCGTGTTTTTGGTATTCCATGCAATGGATTGAATGGAAGATTTGAAGAATGTTTTGTGGCTCATTATAGAACTATCTTCGAAGTATAGCAGATGCTCTCATTAATTTGATTGCTGATATCTGGGATATGCCATTTTTTGGTAGTTCTTGTGTTTTCTGCTGAAAAAGATTCATTTTTTTCTATCCGTGTCTCCTGCATCTTATTCTTATGTCTGACACTCTGTCTGATGCGTCATTTGTGTAGGTATCTCCAAAGAGTAATCTCTCGATTCCGTGGACAAAAAATACAGCTTCTTCTTGAGGTCATGCTATATCGGTATGAGTGGATAATCGAGCACGTGTATTTGTGTATGCATCTTTTTACGTAGTTGAATCATTGCTCTTGTGAATCATTAGATAGGAACCAGCTAAGGACGGTTGAGAGGACTCGAACCAATGGTAGTTTCTAGCACTAATCCCCACAACAGGGAAATGGCCATTAGGAGAAGGATGGCCAGCATGTAAGTCTCTCACTCTCTATTCCCACCTCCCTAACATTCATTCTGCCACAAAATCCGGGCCGCGAGCGCTAGTTTAAAGATTTTACTGCTACAAGGCGGGCCATAGTGTATTTCTACTTACTTCTTGTCGTTACGCATCGCACAAAGTATTCAGATATCACTTACACAAAGGCATTCTTTGTTCTATTTTTGGTGCCTTTATATGCTAAGGCAAATTCTAACTGTAATTCTTTCTACTACCTTGGCAATTTCTTGATCTTAGGCAAGGTTTTTTAGATACCCTGTGCTATTTGTGTCTTAGACTTTGATTGCATTTTTTGTTAGAAATTTTCTGACGGTCATGGAAGAGAAAAATAAAACAAATATCCATTTAGGAAGTAAAAAGGCCAAAGAAAAGTCTGTGCAATTGGGCAACTTAAACATAGGGCCAAACGAATTCACTCTTTGCCTAATTTGTTTTCACTTACAGATTCAATAAAAGAGAAGACGATTTTCCATCCTTGAAAGAGTACAATGACTACTTGGAAGAAGTGGAGGAAATGAGTGAGCTTGTGAATGTTTTTAATTGGATTTTCCCCGTCGTGTTTCATTTCTGAGTCTGACTATAATACTTGGCAGCAATCAATCTGATTGAAGGATTGGATGTGCCGACTATTGAAGCGAAGATTGCAAAGTACCAGGAAGAAAATGCTGAGCAGATTATGATTAATCGTGCGAGGAAGGTGGCTGTCTCTTCTATATGTGATATATTGTTTTGGCCACATTAGTGCAATAGTAATTCAGCTGTTTCGACACTTTCTTTGAGTTATGCTTTTAAGTCCTAACAGTCGAAGTGTCATGACTTTGCATTTTGGTATTCACTGTTGCTATTGTTTAACAGGCTGAAGAGTTTGCTGCGGCATTGGCTGCAAGCAAGGGGCTGCCTCCCCAAACGGATCCAGATGGGGTAAGAAAAACGAAAAATCTATGGATCACTTGATTATTGTTGGATTCTACTATTGTTGCGGAGTCTTTCCAAAGTTAGTCAATGTCATTTTTTACTTGCTCCATGTATAACCTTTATCTTTTTTTTTTGGTAAGGATGTATAACCTTTATCTTTATGTTCACTAAATTAGAAAATTGTTGTCTTTTTTTAATATTTGTGAATCTGGAGTCACGTATCAATTAAAGGTTCTATCACTTGCTGTGGCATGTAAAAACTTACATTTACACGGTCTATAAGGAAAAGCGACCTGGGTGCTTCTAAATAGGTCTCCCCTGATGACATCTTTTGTTTGTCATATTGTCCTTGAGGCCATGGTTTAAGAAATGACAATGCCCAAGTTGTCAGGGATGATCAGATGAGTCGATAACTCCTTAGTCGTTAAAGGGAAAATATGATGCGATGCTTTGTGAGTGTCATGAATCAGGAGTTTTCCAAATTCAATTTCTTAATATTGTCATAAAATACCGCATGTTGTGTGATCCTGGCATGATAATCTGCAAGCTCACGAGTTAGAGGCATAGAGAGGCTACAAAGTTGGAGAAGCCTTATCTCTAGTGTGTTTGCTTTTAGTACGGCCCAAGCATATGAATCTCACTTTTGCATGACATCATCATGGCCCTTTTCAATGTTCTTTGATTTTCTTTTTGTTCTTTATGATGGTGTAACAAAATCATGTGAGGAAGCATGACCACTTAATCAGGATTCCATTTAGCCAAATGTTGGAACCATTAGTGTTAGCATGAATTGTACTGGGATTGTCTTCCTGTTATTGTTCTTGTTCTTATTTATCTTGATAATCAGTGCATAATTTGGGCGTTTTATTGATCCACTCCTGGTTCCATTTTTCAAGAGAAGTTCTATAGGATGAGATTCAGTGTACACCCATATATGCATGTGTACATGGATACATATTTTAATCTTGGGGATCAAGAATATCACCATGTACATAGGCATTAAGCCAAATCAGAGACTGAAGTGATCTTAAGAAATGATAGGGAGCAGGATGAGGCTATGAATGCTACACTTCAAAAGTGATTATCCACATCTCTAAGTGGTTGATCGAGGCATGAAGAGAGGATGCAAAAATGGTGGGCACATGGTATTTATAAATCTTGAGAAAGCACTTGATGTGGTCCCTAGAGAAGTTCTTGTAATAATTTGCCTATTCTCTTAGAATTCCTTTGTTAGCAAACTACGGCAGACGCCACTGATTGGGTAGTCAATAATCTAAATAACCTAGATTACCTTCTTTTGGTACTTTGGTTTTCTTTTAATTTCAAGTGTGTGTTTTGCCATTAAATATTAGTTACAGATCATAGTGTTCGCTTTCTTATGTCTTTATCCTCCATTCAGGTTCTTAACTCTCAAACAGGATTGAGTGTTGGGACACAGGGACAATACGCTCCCGCAATTGCTGGAGGGCAGCCAAGGCCAACAGGCATGGCCCCGCAGCCAGTGCCACTTGGGACTGGCCTTGACATCCATGGATATGATGATGAAGAAATGATAAAGCTCCGAGCCGAAAGGGGAGGCAGAGCGGGAGGGTGGAGCATAGAGCTAAGCAAGAAAAGGGCTATTGAAGAAGCATTTGGAAGCGTTTGGATATGATTCACTTAGTTTTGGCACTGTTCTTGTTTGTGGGCGGTAGCATTCTAAGATGGTTCTTAAGAGAGGAAGCCAGAATTGCAATTATTATGATTGATCTGACTAAGGAGTGTTTGCAATGATCCGCATGAAGATCATGTCTTTTGGGCTCTTGCATGGGGAGCATTCCGAGCAGTGGCATCCTTGCTTGCTGTTCGCTGGCAATTTTAATGCGACATTGAAGGTGTAAAATTGTTACCTCCTCCAATACGATCATACTTGGGATAGTAATGGGAACTGAATCTCTCTCTCTCTCTCTCTCTCTCTCTCTCTCTCTCTCTCTCTCTCTCTCTCTTACCTCCTCCATTACGATCATACTTGGGATAGTAATGGGAACTGAATCTCTCTCTCTCTCTCTCTCTCTCTCTCTCTCTCTCTCTCTCTCTCTCTCTCTCTCTCTCTCTCTCTCTCTCTCTCTCTCTCTCTTACCTCCTCCAATACTATCATACTTGGGATAGTAATGGGAACTGAATATCTCTCTCTCTCTCTCTCTCTCTCTCTCTCTCTCTCTCTCTCTCTCTCTCTCTCTCCTCCAACACGATCATACTTGGGATAGTAATGGGAACTGAATCTCTCTCTCTCTCTCTCTCTCTCTCTCTCTCTCTCTCTCTCTCTCTCTCTCTCTCTCTCTCTCTCTCTCTGTCTCTCTCTCTCTCTCTCCTCCAACACGATCATACTTGGGATAGTAATGGGAACTGAATCTCTCTCTCTCTCTCTCTCTCTCTCTCTCTCTCTCTCTCTCTCTCTCTCTCTCTCTCTCTCTCTCTCTCTCTCTCAGAGGTTAAGTCTCTTTGGCAAATCTTTAGAAAGAATGAGTCTGATCTCATTAAAAATGTCATACTAGGTCTCTAAATTAATCAAAAGTTGAAGGCTTCAGCTTGCCCTAGTGTTTTATGGGTGAAAAGTTGTTGATTGTGGTCGAAGACTTAGAAGTAATTCAAGTGCTTTCCCTGAAGGGGAAAGAGGTAGTTCTAGGGATTTATAGGTAAACTTTAAGGTGATTCTATATCTCGGCGGCTCATCGCCTGTCATCATGTTTGTTGTAAGTAGTGTTACTTTGTATCATAGTAAAAAGCAAATGTAGCAAAAAAACAAATGTGAGCATTGAATTATGGTTGTTTTAAGAAGGAATTTGATAAAACATTGATCGTTTTAAGAAGGAATCTAACCATGTCAGTATGGTTGATTGCAAATTTTCAGTAAGAGTCGATTTTCCTGAATAATTTCCCTCGTACCAATTAGTGAACTCTTTTGACTTTAGGAGGGAAAATTACCAAAAAAGTCCTAAATCTTTTGTAATTGTGCCAATTCAGTCCTAAACCTTTTTTTTTACCATTTCAGTCCTAAACCTTTTACAATTGTGCCAATTCAGTCCATCCGGCCATTTTTGGCCGGCCGTCGCTGACGTGGATGCCGACCGGCGCCCGCCGGCGCCGGGCGGCTGACGTGGCATTATTTTAATATTTTTTTCCTTTTTTTTTTTCCTTCTTCCCCCTGGCCGGACCGGCCAGGGGGAGACTCGCCGGCCATGGCGAGGCCGACCTCGCCGGCCATGGGCGAGGTCGACCTCGCCCGGCCATGGCGAGGTCGAGCTCGCCAGCCATGGGCGACGCGAGGCCTCGCCCAGATCTGGCGAGGTCTCACCAAATCTGGGCGACTTGGCGAGGTCGAGCTTGCCCGGCGACGGCGAGGCCTCGACAGATCTGGGCGAGGCCTCGCCGTCGCCGGGCGAGGTCAAGCTCGCCGGGCGAGGTCGAGCACTCCGGCCATGGGTGAGGTCGAGCTCGCCCGGCGACTGGCGAGGCCTCGCCTAGATCTGGTAAGACCTTGCCGTCGCCAAGCGAGCTCGACCTCGCCCAGCGACGGCGAGGTCTCGCCAGATCTGGGCAAGGCCTTGCCGTCACCCATGGCCGGCGAGCTCGACCTTGCCATGGCCGGCGAGGTCACCTCGCCGGCGAGCCTTCCCCTGGCCGGTTCGGCCAGGGGGAAGAAAGAAAAAAAAATATTAAAATAATACCACGTCAGCCGGCCGGCGTCCACGTCAGCGCCGCTGGCCAAAAGTGGCCAGATAAACTGAATTGGCACAATTGTAAAAGGTTTAGGACTGAAATGGCCAAAAAAAAGGTTTAGGACTGAATTGGCACAATTGCAAAAGGTTTAGGACTTTTTTGGTAATTTTCCCGACTTTCGGATGCACCCATACCTGTTACGACAAGCCGAGGAACCACAATGATCAGGATGTCTACATCCGTTCCACTGTCACTACCTGATAGTTACCATGACAATAGGCGCCTGGCGGTCTAAGAACATTATCTTCGCTCGAGCTTAAACACGTAAAAATCCACTTCCTAGTAATATATTTAGGAAAAAGTCACAAAAAACTTCAAACGATGCCCGTTTGACATATTTACCTTGAATTTTTTCTGTGATGTCAATAACCCCAAACTATATCTACCGTGACACATTTATCCTAATTTTTTTCTTGTGATATAAAAAAAACCCAAACTTGTATTTATGTGACACATTTACCCTCCGTCAATATTTCGTTAGACAATTTTGCAGCTACATGTGCGTCATGTCAATACTATTTGCTTTTCGGTGTCTATATAGATACCTTTTAACTGTTGTCATTGACAGAATTTTGACGGAAGATAAATGTATAACACACATACAAGTTTAGGATTTTTTGTGCAGCTGACAAAAATTTAGGATAAATGTATCGTGATGAGAATAACTTAGGGTTTTTTATGGCTTTTGCCTAATATTTTTCGACATTGAATATAAATTAACTCGGAAGCGTCTTAGCAGTAAACTCACGTACCAAGGTTGATGACAAATGGCTATTCTTCATGTACTAATCGTTTAACAGACTCCTCCCACCCCGGAACTTCGATCGGACTTGCCCGCACATCGTCTGTTTTTGAGAAGTCATAACAAAAGGGGAATTGAGCTCAGCAAATTGGATTTTTCACCCACAGAGATAGAGAACCGAGAAGGCAAATATAAATGAGCCGATGCAGCTTCATAATAGCACTGAAACCTCAAATTACAATCGTACAAGGATTTGTAAACAGCTGTGTGCAGACAAAAAATTACATACAACTGCCACCATGTTCCGACTACTGGTACTTCTTGTCCTATGTCAGCTATATACACTCTATTTTGCAGTTATTGTGACTTGGTCTCTATGTGCAAGTATTATTCATCCAGCTTATCCATCAAATCTGCCAGTGGTCGGCCTCCTTTTGTGTTGCTGCCTTCTATGTGAAACTCATGCTCAAATAAGACCAATCGCTTGCAGTTCTCCTCAAGGGAATCAAACAGCAGGACAAGCACGAGTTCCGATCAACTCCAGCATGCAGACGGGTGTTGCTGCAAGGGTTCTAGTTTCCGCAAGAATCCCTTGCCTCCGCAAAAGAAGTTGGGAGATAGTTTTTGACAGTAGTAGTAGAGGAGATCCCTAACTTCTCTGTGCTAGTAAAAGATGGTTGCGCAGCCATCCTGTAAAACTTGCGAGCTGCTCCGCTTGTCGATTATATTCAAAAAGCATTTGCTTCCAAGGAATTGCCACTTCGTTGCAACACTGGTAATTTTTCTTCTCTGCCATTTGCAACCTGAACGTGTGCAACTCAGTGGTTCCTTCTGAGGCTCCTGCTTTCAGCTGGTAGAAAACAAGATTCTTGCTCCGAGAATGTGATGCTTTTGATCACTTGGAAGAAGTTCCTACTCTAGCCATATGTTAGATCAGTTGAAGAAGTAAGGAGATTCGAGGACTTCCCGTAAGTCAAAGTTGCCTCTATCAGGTAGGGAAGGAAACGTCAGTGCTGGATATGATGTCTGGAAACTTTCAAGCAACTGCATTAACACAAGACGAATTAAGCCCGATTGAATCCTTGCTCTAAAAAAGAGTAGATATATTACACAACACAGTGTATAAATGATAAGTCTTACACCAAAAGTTGGCTTTTGATTCACATTTCAATTGACAATTGAATAGAGGATTATTTTGAGAACCATGAGATCTCTAAATTATCTATAAGCCTAGCACTTTTACCATAGTGACTGGAAACACACTGAAGCATACAAAACCATAGTCATCACCTCATCAACCTTTTTCTCAATAGTTGATAGGAGACACATTCAAAACATTCGTATTAAGGCTTAGCAGCTGTTTATAAGAATCAAGGTACTTACATTTTCGAGGACAGGCATATCATATAGTTCGACAAATTTTTCGCGTAGAATCCAGTTCATCTGGTCCACATCACAAGCATGTGTCCAGAATGAGTCATGCACCCCTGCAGTTTATTCATACGAGGATGTATGTGAGTTTCACACCAAACAGGAGCAAGTTGCCCTCGAACATACTTCAAAGACTAATTTCCTATGTCTTCTCACTAAACTCGCTTCGGCAATTTAGCTTAGAATTTTCCAAAGTCCAAAAGAACGATATTCGTGTAGACCTATCAGGGAAGACCAAGCCAGACCAATATTGGGACCAATTCGTCAAATCTCCTCCTTAGCTAGGATCTGTGCAAGATCCATAAGAGCACGATTGTCCTTGGGAGACTAGTAGATTTTAGCAAACATAGGAATGTACAAAACCTGAACCAATATGCACAGCATGCAAACCTAACAGAACCTATTCTGGTGCCAGGTTAATGTGTATCTAGTATTTGCCTGTATCAGGCTCAAGATCCAAGTGAGTTCTTGCAAATATAGTGGCTCGAGAGAAACCTGCAAAACGTAGACCAGCCTCGCTGCAGGCAACGGCAGTCATCATCATGTGTGAACCATCAAGTGAGTGAACAAAATTTGGGGGAAATGCTGTTCTCTGTCTTCTAACATCAACCTGAAGTTCATACAACATTTGAGTTTTTTGTCAGTATATTCAGTGTCATGGGATATAACCTACTGAGTTTTCCAAACATAACCTACCAAGTCACCCTCCCGCTGCAAGGCCAAAATCTGAAGGGTTGTTCTTATCTGCATTACAAAACTTATTCAGGATTTTCACATAGAAAATCCAGCAATAGAGAAATTCTGAAGGGTTGTTTCTATCTGCATTACAAAACTCATTCAGGATTTTCAAATACAGTAGCACAAGACACAAATTCACACATCCTTCCTGCAATCCCCTCCCTAATGAGGTCTATGTTAAAAGCCCAGTCATTCTTGTATCTTCACTATCTTTCTCGAGAACATCATGCATAGCATTTAATGAAACAAGTAGAACA